AATAGATAATTTGCCAGCTGCTCTACGACTGGACGTTAAAAATGTTTTCAAGGTTTCTAAACTAATATGGATACAATAATCAATTTCTAAAAGTTAAGGTATGAAAATTCTAGTTACTGTCGAATCAAAAATAATTTGACATCAATAAATGTTTTTTAAAAAACTTTTTTTATACATTGAATTTTTTTCTTTATTTTAACGAGCCGAAGCTGTTTACAAAATCAAAGTATAAAATGTGGATGAAATAATACTTCTAATAAAACAATACTTCTTAATAAAATTATGATACTTCAGAAAATCACAATTTATTACCGTCATCGAATCCAGTTTGACCATAACGCAGTTATTGGGTTCTAGTGACTACGTAATATTTATTTTTGTCATCCGTTATTGTCGCCTGTAACAATAAATTATTAAAAAAAAAAAAAAAAAAAAAAAAAAATGCAAAGATTACAATTGCTATTCAAACGCTAATTGTGTACACTGCGTAAATGTACGTATTAAGAAAAGAAAGAACGTCATTTTCTCCCGTCGAGTAAGTTTCTACCCAAAAGAAGTTGCTGTATGTTAGCCTCGAGTCGCACAAACAATGTTTTTATACCTCCACTGAAAATAATATAACGTTTTTTACTGATTTCAAGATTGAGAGTGTAATATTATCTTACAACTAATCCATAATCTTTTTAATTTTGGCGTACAGTTAGCTCGAAATTTGGACTAATACGGCAAAAGTCCGAAACGTTATTTGATTGTTTTGAAGAAAAAGAAAAGAATCCTTTTATCAATAGTTTCAAAGTATCGGAGCAAGTAGAGAGTATACCATATTTATTGGCTTTATTTATCACGAAGGAAGTATTTTGAAAATACAATAATCTAAGGTGACACTAAGGTATCACTTTTTTCATACCTACAACACCATCGTTTTATTTATTCGTATATGACTGTGGCTTTACGTATGTGTAAAATGAAAATTTTATAAATTGGCGGAATTATGTAAATTTTTGACTACGCTCTTGCGTTAAAATATATTTACAATAAATCGTATTGTAGGAAAATTACTGAGCCTATAGATATGAGCTCTAATACTTGATAATTGTATAAAAACGGCATTGCAGCTCAGAGATATTTATTAAGGAGTAATCATAAATTACTTTATTTATTAGTCATAAACGTAATTAGTAATTCCAGAGGAATAGTATGCATCCATTTTAAAACCCTCCCTCCAAATAGTTACGATAAATGCTTGACTTTGAAAACTATCACATAGATCAACACACCCAAGCAACCTGTAACGCATAGTGTTATCAGTCAGCTTTTATTTTTGGCAATTATTTTTTTCCTTTTTTTTTCGAGTTGTACATGGCTCCAATATCATGTCCAGTAACAAATCAAAAAGCCCTTTGTTTCTATTCTCAAATTAAAAAATATAAACCTCAATAAAATGTATGTCTGACACACGTATCAGTATGGAGTAACCTATTGTGATTCTGCACGGACACAATGAAACGGAAAAATTTTTGCCTACTACTTACACTTTTCATTAGATTGAACAGCATAAAGATAATTTACGTATACCGTGAGTTTATTAATTTTTTTTACAAATATGATTATTCGATTCCTTCAAATGAATAATAAATCTTGTAAAACACAAGTATGGAAAGATTTTTCTAATGGTGCGCAAATAAGTAGTTTTTTTAAAATCAAATCCTAAGTATAAAATACTTGAGAAATGAGAAAAAAAATTTGAATTTCATGAAGCACAGTGTACCCGAGGTCTTCGAGGAGAGCGGATGGGGGCCCAGATGAGCGTCAATACGCGGGAACTAGCAGAATCAAAGAAGAACAGCGACGAGTGAGATTAAACGATACTCGGATGAGATCTGCTGGTAGCGGTTACACGGGAAATAAGAGCCGGGAGGCCGCGAAAGAAAAAAGGCCCACGAAACCAAAAGGAGAAGACTCCGGTACGTGCGTTTAGACTGACGAGGGTTTTTTTTTTTTACTGCACGAGGGTTTTTTTTCATAGATTTGATTTGAAGCGATCAAGGCCCGTATGATTTTTTTTTTTTTTCCATCAAATGGGTCGTTAATGAACATTGATGCTGGTATCGTATTGGATTTTATTTTCCTAGAGGGCGTGACTTCAATTATCCCTCTTTTTTTTATTCATCAGTACAGGATCGGTTTATTTATTATCTTCGCACCGAAGTGATTGTTCGCGATCGCGTGACGAATTGAAAAAACACAAATATATATGAGCGAATGTTTATAATCTCTAGGTTGTTGCGCGTACGGCAGCGAAAAAAACGATGCCGGCGAGAGCCGAGCAGCGAACAAAAGGAAAAAGAGCTCGTCCGAGGAAAAGGAAAAACCGGAGATCAGCGGAAGTGGGAAAATAAAGTCTGCGACTCGAAAAAGGGACGATGTTGAAAAGGTAGCAGTGAAAATAAAGGAAGGTGAGGATACGCCGGAGCCGAAGAAATCGAAGGTAAACGCGAGAGATGATAAAAGTCCGTCCGCGGGAAAACGGGACGAAGAAGTGGGCAAAACCAGTTTGGCGTCCAGGATGAAGAAATGGAAAGGGCTGATGGGTAGGAATCAAAGGGAGGAAGGAGAAATCCCGTCCAAGGGAAATGGGAAAAACAAAATAGCTGAAAAACATGAAATTAACGGAGACGTGGATGTAATGAGTTTGTTGATGGCGGGAAAAAAGAAGACGAGAAATGAGGAGGTGAATAATGGAAGTGACAAAATAAAGACCGGAGGCAAAACAATGAGTAAGAAGAGTAGTAAAAATAAAAGTTTTAATCATCATGCCTCGCGAGATAAGACGTTGGACGAAAGTTCAGCGTCGGGGGGAGAAAAAGTGAAGAAATCGACGAACGCGAGCGCCGACAAGCAGTATCATCGGATAAAGAAAAAATTAGTCGACTGTACGGTTGAGTTGAACCAGCTGGTTGGAAAAGTATCGGATCTTTTTAAAAGTATGAAAACCCAAAAAGAGTAACTACAAATACAAATGTTGTCAGTATGAATCAATTGTTGTAGTGTCCACAAATAAATGCAATGGAAATAAAATGTACACGTGAATTTAATACATCGGTATACATTTACTTGCACTTTGAACACATTCAATTTGAAATTTCAGGGTAACTTCAAATTCAAGGGATGAAAAAGAAAATTGAAGGCGCCACCTATCAAATAATTGAAATACTTTTTAAAAAAATATATTTATTTAAAAATTATTTTTATCATTTAAATACTCATTCGATCATTGGTTTTATTTACTCCTTTATATTACATCTTCTGGCAAATATCCAATCCAATTTACGATGTTGAATCCTTGATCATTGAAGCAGTCAACTATCATTTTTCCACTTTTACACACATCGTTTGAAACTGATTACATTTATATCAATTTAACAAATCTACGGTCTCGTTATACATTATGATGATTTGAGAAAAATAAGTTTTTTTTTACCTCTGTGTTTGCACTCATCCATTAGTTTACTTGCGTTGTAACTAGGGAGCATTCTCTGGAGTGCTAGTATCATGGAAAAATCATCAAAAACTATTTTATTTGAATCCATCTGCAATTAAAATGTAAAATTATAAACAATTTTATTTATTTACTCATTTTTTTTTTTTTTTTTTTCATGTAANTAGCGTGTCTGCCTACAGATCTAACGAAATATTGTTGCCTTTATGAAAAAAAAAAAAAAAATAAATAAAAACAAAATTGTACTTAAAATTCACAAATATAAAAATTGAAGAGTAAACCTTGCAGGTGGCTTGTGATTATAATGCAAGGATACAAACAACAGAGAGAGTACAAGTTAATATAGGCCATGAATAAAAGTAGTCCCTCGTCTAGTGCGTTTTGAAAAGTAGATTCATGTGCGCGTTTTATAATTTTTTGTAATGATTGCTATTTCCATCACTGGATTTTTTTTTTCACAGTGTGTACATGCTTTTTGTGCAAAACGCTAAAAATAATATTTGTATTCTTTCAAACGAAAACGTTGTTGTACTGAATCTGATCTAAAAGATACTTTGTCAATAACTCGTTCGTATCATCACGTCTGGTAAACGTGTGGATGGATGTATTTTAGTTCAAAATTGTTTTCAACGTCCTTAAAAACAATGTCAAAGTCTTAACTCGAGTAATAACTAGCTGTTTTAATGATGCATTAATACAGTCAGTCGTATGAAAGCATCTCTTCTTACACGAAATCAAAGGCGAAAGAGTCAAAAAAGACTTTCTACGAGAAATTTTATTTGAAGTGCAGAAATCAACACCCAAAACCACCGTAGTAGACTGAATGACCATCAGTCCGTATTGTAGAAAAAAGGGATTACTTAAAAAATAAGTAAACACGTATCATAAGCCGGAAAGATCGGATGGACCCAATTTTGTAAGAATTTAGAGTTTATACCTTAGTGTGTTCTAAGATTTAATTAAAAATAAGAAAAATTTTATTTTTGAGGGATGTAGAAATAATTTTTTAAGAAACACACCAGTTAGGTAATATTATATATAATTTTATCAAATTGACAGCAATATTTAGTTTGAACTGTGTGTGATGTGATAAAGATATTTTTCTATGTAATCTAGTGTTCGATCAAAAACGTGCCTATTCAAGTGAACTGTGACACGAAAAACATATAATAGTGGTATTGCGATTAACTTCTTATGAAAACAAAGTAATGCTATCGAATTGTGAATAAATGAATTTATTTATAATGATCAAATATTTCAGTGAAAAATAATGAAAAATAATGAAAAATAATATACATGTATGTACATACTACGGATATTGTAGGGGACGCCACCAGTCAAATCACAGCTGTATTCGGATGTCAAGAGGGAAATTCAAAAACACAAAGATCACAATCGTATACCTATACATCGGACTAGTTAACTATTATATACCTATACACACACTAGATACGTACACTTATGACTATAAGGTATATTATCACCACCACTGCCGTTATTTGCTAAGATGTTACCTGAGCGTCTGACTCACCAAAGTATACTACCGATCTAGCTTGAAAAAAATGTCAAATCGGGAGATCGAATTGAGCGAGAGTGACGGCTATCATCGAAACAAGATACATTTCCACAAATCAACAGGTGGGTATATATTTTTTTTTGATATCACAACAACATAACCTTGGGTATGAGGATAAATATATTCTGTGTGTTACATTAGATGAGCCGTACATAAAAAATTTCAAACCAATAAGAGGCGGTAAATTTGCGGATTCGTTCACCTACTCGTTTTTCAAGGAAGTCTTTTTACCACAAGGATTTCCCGACAGTGTACACAAGGACTATGTGTCTTATCAGATTTGGGATACTTTGCAGGTTTGTTAACAACATTTTTAAATCCAAATAAGTATAAAGTTTAACTGAATATTCGTCAAAATAACATTTCTCAAAGGCTTTTGCCAGTACCATCAATGGCACCTTGACAACACATTCAATCATGAAGGGTGTAGGAGTTGGGGAGTCCACAGCAACTCCTTTAGCAGCTGCCATAACGTGGATCTTGAAGGATGGAACTGGAATGGTTGGAAGAATCTTATTTGCTTGGTGGCAAGGGTTTGTATCTCTATTTTTTTTTTTTTTTTTGTTTTAGAGTGCCATTTTTATTCCATACTGACAGATTATTTTTAGGAACAATTTAGGTAGCCAGTGTAAGAAGTGGAGGCTGTTTGCAGACATTCTAAACGATTTTGCCATGACCCTAGAAATAACTGTGCCATATGTACCTGTATTATCTTCCTATACTTTATGTCTTACAACTGGAATGAAGTCCATAGTTGGAATAGCTGGTGGGGCAACAAGAACATCTATAATGCAGCATCATGTATTTACAATTATGTTAAAGCATCTACTCTCAAGTGCACGCAATGCAAAAGAGGTGTTTGATTTTGGCGTTATTTTCAGGCTATCAAAGATAATTTGGCCGACATATCTGCTAAAGAGCATAGCCAAGGAACACTTGTAAATTTGGCTGGATCAATAGTCGGAATTTTTATACTATTGTGCATCCATGAGAGGTGAACCTGAAATATTGCAACTTACAAAACGTTTAATTAACAATTTACAATGTTGTGTTTACTTTTAGACTTTTTTTATACTTATGTTTTTTACTAGTCATTGTTCACATTGTATCAAATTACTTTGCCGTGACGTCGTTGCAAATAAATACTTTGAATGAGGATCGTTTGTGCTTAATCATCGAGGACTACATACTTAATCACACAGTTTCTAATGTTGCTACAATCAACGATCGCGAATCAGTGTTTCTACTTTGGAATAGCCCAGGTAAATTACACATAAGATATAAAAACTGAAATAACATACTCATTATTCATCATTGGTTATTTCAGCAAAAAAACGATTTGGATTCGATATTGAAATCGGCGTTTCTATAGAATACATTTTGAAAACAAATTTAGTAAGGTCTAAGGATTTACCACTATTGATAGAACTTTTGCAACGCAGAAAGTACCTACCAATAATGGATGTTCAGCAAAGAAAAATTCACATAGTCCTTCCCGAGGAGATTGATGATGCACAAATTTTGAAAGCATACTTTTATTCGTGCATTTACGCTGTTGTAGCCAGCTCGATGATGGACTTGAAATCGGTATGTGTCGATGAATATTTCCAGAAGTACATGTAAATTAGGTGCTTACGGAAACAAATGTTTCAGGATGTTTTATTTCAAAAAAATTGTCCATCTCACCTACTGATGAAGGTACTTTTATTTTCAAAAAAATGCAAAGCCACTTTGAGCAAAAGTGATAAGCAAGTATCTGCAGAATTGATATCAACTGTAGACGAAATGGTTCACGAAGATTGTGACCTGTTCATTAAATTATTAGATGAAAGTGGTAAGATTACTTGTTTAGCTGTCAAATAAAACCTATGCGTTAAAATAACTTAACTGTATTTTCAGAGTGGGTATCAAAAGCTAATATGCTGCTTGCAAAGTCATGGAGATGTTCATGGAAATCATAGCTATTTGGACGTATGCCTGTGGACTCTTATCAACATTATTAAGATACGCTTGGAGAAATTACATTATTATTGTTTGTGTTTGTCAATCAAGTCGTTGGTATTTAAAAATTTTTTTACTAAACTTTAATAATAATTGTTATTAATTAATACTATTGAGTACGTTTGACCAAGCCATATAGCGTGAAAATAAGACGAAAATAACTTGTAAGTAGAACTTTGTTGCACGTACTTTGCCATGTCCTTAATTATTAAAAAATTACAAGACTGGAAGCCTATATACGATCAAAATGTTATTTTAATAATCAAATGAAAAATAAAAAAAGATGAGAAAAATTTTAACCGCACGCCTATTTTATTTCAAAACTTTTCCACCCGCATGCTCAAAATGTGTATCTTTGGTAGATATGAAAATGCTGAAATATCCACTCCTTCTCTCTCTCTGTTATCGTTAAGATGCGTCATTTGTATCGATGATGAATTGGGTTACAACAATAAGTTTAATGGTTACATAAACTCCGCGGCTGTAAAAAAGTTGCTCGCAAACGTCGCATTTTTCTTATCGAAGTTGATAAGCCTTTTCTAGAAGAGAGTATATAAGGATCCCGGCGCACAAATGAATCGGTCACAAATTCAGTTGGCCGTGCAAAATGAAGAGCTACTTGGCTTTGTTGTTCATTGGCTTTCTCTCGACGAGCTACGGTAAGTATACGAATGGGGGAACAAAAAGAAAACCCTATTAATTAACTCGTTGGTCAACCACTTTTTTTCTTTTTTTACCTTTGCAGTCGAGGCCGTCAGCCGAATATCGGGCGGCTCCGACGCACCGATCGACAAATTTCCCTTCTCGGCCTTCCTCAAGGATAACTTGGGCTTTTTGTGCGGCGCTACCATCATCCACAAGAACTACGTGCTCACCGCTGCCAGCTGTGTTTACCAGTAAATTAATACCTTTATTTTATTTTATTTTTTTACGTTTTTCATTGGAAAAAAAAAAAAAAAAAAGAAAAGAAATTCATTAAAATCATATTGAAAAAAAAAGTGTTGTTCAATTACACGCGATATCGTGCGAAAGAGATATATTTAACACAACGAATTTTGACCTCTTATCTGTACGTAAACAGATTGGCGTCCCCTAGAAATGTGGAAGTGGTCGTCGGCACTATCAACTCCACCGGAGACGGTGGGGATCACTATCCCGCAAAACGCATCATTGTTCACGAGCAACACAAGGTAATCTTTCCTTTTTTTTTCATACACACATGTCTCTCGGATCACGAATATGGTATCGTTTATGAAAAGAATATACTTTTAGCGCGTGGACGGCCTGTACTCCAAGAACGACATTGCCCTGGTCGAGGTGAGCGGAGATATAAAGTTCAACGACAAAGTGCAGCCCATCAAGTTGCCATCGGAATCCGCGGTTTTTATTCCTGAAAACACGACGGTCATTCTTTCGGGGTACGGGCAGACGGAGGTAAAATACTAAACGAGAAAAGTCAATTGCCGGTATATGTGTGTATATACCTACGTTGTACATTGGAACACTGTTTTCTTTCGCACAGAAATACTCGAACAATCAGCCGGATACCCTTCACTTCGTGAAAAACGAGATAAAAGATTACACGATATGCGCCCTCACTTGGCTGAGCGTGAGATTCATCGTTTTGAACAAGGGCCAAATTTGCACCAAGGCACCGCGAGGTGTGGGCGCGTGCATCGGTGACTCGGGATCTCCACTGGTCAACGAAGACGGTGTTCAAGTTGGAATAGTGTCCTTCGGGATGCCCTGCGGCAATGGTTATCCGGACGTGTACACGAACGTGGCTTACTACGCCAAGTGGATCAACAGCAAGATTTCCACCCCTTCGGGGACTTTGTGATGCATTGATACTTGATCGGGTGTTTTTTTTATTTTTTATTAATGGATAAATAAATTTTTCATTGAAATCGTTGTTCATTTGTCAACATGGTTTACCTAGAGATTTGTGCGCAATTAAATCCTCGCGCCACTCCCCTCTCTTTCTCTGATGAAAAGGAGCGAGAGAGCAAATTGACAATATATGTATTTTTAGGTTAGATGGAGGGAGAAAGAGAAGGAATCGAACATCTATTTAAAAGAAAGAATTGTACCTATAACGTTATACTTACCTTAAAAAGAAGCAGAAACAGCTGGTGCTTACAATTAAAGTGTACTCAATTGTAAAGCAAAAGAAAACTCAAAGAATGTTTTTTTAAAGAATCAGTGCTTGGAGAGCAAGTTCAAGTCTCGCGACTCGCGACTCGCGTTCAATTTTCGAGGTCAGAATGCATTGTTTGTCGGTTGTCAAATACGTTTGTGTCGATGCTCACTTGAAACAATATTTATCCGAGCACTGCAACAATCCAAAGTCGATTAGAAGGTTATAAGGGTTCGACGTTTTTGCGTGTAAAATTTTGGTACCTGTTACCTGTTGGACGTATAACTAGGAGTTTCAGTTGATGTTGATTTATTCTTTTTAATTATCATCGTTTTGTTTCGCTGGGCGATAACATTTAAACGAAAATGTCGAAGATATTTACACCTGTGAACCAGATAAGGCTAACTAACGTAGCAGTGGTCCGCATTAAGAAAGGAGGCAAGAGGTTCGAAATCGCCTGCTACAGGAACAAAGTCGTTTCCTGGCGAAATAATCTGTAAGTATAAGCTGGATTTATTCAATATTCCATACTTTACAACCTGACAAAGACTTTTCCCAGTTTCAATTCAAATAGTTGAGTAGGAAGTTTTATATCAGCTTTGTGTTAGAGTAATCATTTTGTATTGCAGAGAAAAAGACATTGATGAAGTATTACAGACCCACACAGTCTTCACAAATGTATCAAAAGGACAAGTGGCTAAAAAGGAAGATCTCATCAAAGTTTTTGGAAAGGATGATCAAACAGAAATTTGCAAAGAGATATTGGCAAAAGGTGAACTGCAAGTTTCGGACAAAGAAAGGCACTCTGCCTTGGATGCCATGTTCAAAGATATAGCCACCACTGTTGCGCACAATTGTGTTAACCCAGAAAATAAAAGACCCTATTCTGTATCCCTGATAGAAGCAGCTATGAGGGATATTCATTTCTCTGTGAAACCTAACCAGAATGTCAAAAAGCAGGCGTTAGATGTTATTCCTCAGTTAAAAACTGTTATAGCTCTTGAGAGAGCTCAGATGAGATTGAGGATTGTGATTTCTGGTAAAGAGGCTAGAAAATTGAAAGATAAAGTTGTCAAGTTAACTGCATCAGTTGAAACTGAAAATTGGGACAACGGTTCGTTAGATTTAATATGTTTAATTGATCCTGGTCATTACCGTGACATCGACGAGTTGATCAGGACAGAGACAAAAGGCTGTGGAGTCTTAGAGCTGTTGAATTTGAAAGAAATAACTGAAGGTGATGAAGTTTTGGAGTAGTCACTTTGTATTACTGTGCACATTACTGTTTACTGAATCAATAAAAATATTTTTACTATTCAGCACAACGGGATAATTCGTTCAACATTTTAAAATAATGTAAGGATTTAAAAAATTTAAAATAATGATTCGTGTTGTAAACTTAATGTATTTTTTTATTAAATGCTACTATTTACATAAAACTTGTACACTGATAAAATGTACAATTGCTCACTTACAACTTGTCATTTGATTAATAAATATTGTGTACACAAATATACATAACAAGTTGAACAGATCGGTTCACTTAAAGTTTCTATGTACAAACAAGTTTAATTAATTAAGAAAATCAATCGATGAGAGACAATCAATAATTTTTATGTTCAAGCCTCACTGTTCAAGTTCATATAATTTGACATTTTCTAAGTTATGTCACAAAAAGTATCAAATGAAATTAACAATTCACATGAAGTAAATTTTAACCGAGAATTCATGAGACTTTCTTTTCATTCAATACTTCTGCTCTAGGAATATAAATGTTTTCTGTGCGTTTGTCACATTTGGCAGCAATACGAGATATAGTTAAAAGGAAGTCCGAGAGTCGTTTTAAATAGTTTTGTGCTTCTTTATCTAAAATTCCCTTGTCCACTAGAGGTTCTATACTGTGCTCGGTTCTTTTACAAACTGTTTTTGCAACGTGAAGTGATGCACAAGCTTTTCCTCCACCCTGTTCATACAAATAAAATTTAAAATGTTCATCGTCAATAAAATAAAAATACAAAGTTGAAACAATTACAAATAATTTGATACGATTGTTTATCAAAAATAAGAGCTTGTTTACATATCATTATTAAAAGATAATTACCGGGATGATGTAATCTTCAGGGGGTGGCAACTGCTCCGAGTACTCTGTTATCCACTCTTCGAGATCTTTGGTGTGTCTTTCCTCAAATGGTCCGACTTGACCTTTGACTATTGTGTGATGCAAGTCAAACAGAATCATTTGAACCCTCTTTAACTTGTCAACATAGGGATGCTCTTCTTTGCTGTCATTGGCAAATTCTCTGGCCAAGCCTATGTACGAGGAGAGCTCGTCTGTTGCTCCAAGAGCATTTGTAATTTTTTTGTCTTTTATTTTCGACTGTAATTCCGATATTCTCGGAGATGCAGGGGTTTCAGTCACATTGACCGTTTCGCTCGAACTGTGAAAATTGAATTAAAAAAATTATTGAACCAGCTACTTTATAGACTATCATACTATTGGAAAAACGCAATAAGCATTGAGTTATACAATTGAGAAAAAAGTGTCGAACTTTAGCAGTAAAGTAGCGATAAAAAAAAACGTGCGACAAAGCTGATATTGACAGGGAAAAGGTTATCCGGACTTTGCACAATAGACACGTGTTTGACAACTTACCTTGACCGCAACGACGGCTGCACACACGATTTGTAAACGATGAAGGATCTTTTCCAGACGTTTCTGGCCAATTCCATGGCTATAAAAGCACTTGCGGCGCGGCTCACTAACCAAAATCCTTTCCCGAAAGCAACAAGCAATTTTATTATATCGCTCTCTGTTCGTCGAGAGGAGCCTCACCCTTTAAATGAATGAATGTACGCAGATAACAAATAGGCGCCGCTGCAGCCGCAAATATCAAAAGGCGCCTGATAATTTTATCTTTTTTTCGAGAGATAAAACGTAACTCGTTGTATTCAAACAAAATGATATTGCTTATGTTTTTTTCGTGAAATTGAGGAGTTTATATTACTCACTTTGTAAATTTGCATTTTGCACTGTTGACTGCTTCGGTCGCAGATTTTGTGTACTTATATGTATATAATATATACATATTATGTATATATGGTAAGCCACATGATGGCTCTGTCGGTAGCGTGTCTGCCTACAGATCTTGATGGCCGGGGTTCAAATCCCACTCTGGACAAAAATTTCATCATTGAATGAGGTTTTTTTCTGGATGGGAGTTGAACTTCAATAAACCTACCGATCCATCTACCGTTTCCTCCTACTGTTATTAAACCCAACGTATGGCTAAATACACTTTATGGTGTCAAAATAGCCATGTCTGAGCCCTTAAGGGGCGATGATGAATATAAAAAAAAAAATGTATATATGGTACAATTTCCCCGTCTGCCCCGCTCCCTTCCGATCGTCATATGTAGGGCGCAACTTTATCGGTTGTTTGAGCGGCAGCTCGACGGTATATTATCTGATGAATTTGAAACATAAAAGTAATAAATTAATAAGCGTTGGAAAATCATAAAAATCCAACTAAATGATCAGAACTGCATGACTTTAGTTCCACTTATATTGAAGTGGTTGATTTTGTTAGCAAAACTTTGGGGTCACTGACATGTAGGTTAAACAGAGCGCTTATTTACCTTCACATGGTAAATACATTTTTTCTGGTCAAAGAGAGCACAAAAAAACTCTCATGGATGTGCAGTCACAAGCGCGGCTGGGTTGTGGGTTGGGTTGTGATTGTCGTGTGCGAGAGACGATGTCAACAAAGCTGCACTGCTGCACCCACTTATATTTAAATACCACCAAACCGCATGTGTTAAATTAAATGTGAATGGTATACCGGTATAATATAGTATAGTATCCAGTACTTAGGTGTACCTATCAGAGACACACGATGGTACAATTTCGTGAAAAATATAACAATTTATCGCGTGTGTAAATTTTACACGCGCAAATTCATACGTATCTATATACAAATCAGTAAAACAACCGCGAGAAGGAGAGGAGAGGAGAAGAGCAAGCTGCAGCGGCATAGTAGTATATATATATAGCAGCACACAGGAGCAGATGTGCGACGGGTTCACGGGTGAAAAGCAAGCAGGCGGCGGCGGCGGCGGCGCAGCACTACGCGTATAACTCGTGGGTAAACCCAATATACCTATATAAGCAGGCATCAGAAAGGCTACCACGGTGATGGTGGTGCTGCAGTGGCCACCAGGAGTACGACCTACAACTTACAAGTCCTACCTGATACCTGGGTCAGAGGTATTGGGTGTTTCGTAGCATATATTAGCCATCGGCAGAGACTCGAACATTTTTCACTCTGATATGGTGGTGCGGGCGCGTCACTTTTCCTGCAGCTATAGTTGCCTACCCTTGGTGTGTTGTGTATAAATGTGATATTTTGTATTCCTGTGCGCGCGTCTCGACCATCGTCGTCGTCGTCGTCGTCGTCGTCGTGTATCTATACGCCTATATATATACATATATATGTAAGTATACACCTCTGGTAGTCTGGTGGCACTACCTATATTACAAGAAGACCTCGACTTAGCCGCCTCACAGAGAGGTAATGCACATGTATATCTATATTATTCGCCTACCTACCGACAGGAAGCATTGCCTGCCGCGGTGTGTGCGTACATAAAACTCTACTAGTACTTACTGACTGTACGTTTGCAAAATAATAGGCTGCGGATGCTCGATAGCGATCGCAAGTCCTTGATAGTAGCCGGCTTGCATGTATACAGGTATAAATTGTCAAGGTGGCGAGGAGAAGACGTCGGGAAGAAGAAGAAAGAGCTTTTGGAGTACGAAGGAAGGTGCAACCTCCTGCAGTGTTGGTGTGTCTGTGCGCGCGTGTACATTACATACGACAATTTCGCAAGCGAGTGAGAGACGCGAGTTATATGTCCGATTACCGCAAGTCCTGTCCGAATCTCGCGTGCTTTCATGGGATCGGTGAGATATTCTGCCGTGCAGCCACGACCGCAGCAGCCACCAGCAGTAACAACAGTAGTAGCATCAACAACAACAACATCAAGAACAGGACGTCCCTGAGAGCATAGCACTCGCTGTCCATCGCCGCAAGCATGAAGTTAGTATATACAATATACCTGTACTTTTAATATCACCTTGTCAATCAAAATACTATACGACAGTAGGTACATACACACATAAGTACACCTTGATTGCTCAATTCAAACACGCCGACAGCCCGTCAAATCGCCCTCGATCCTCGTGCTTTCTACTTCGTCCTTTCAAATAAACGTACGGTTCTGCTTTCATTTTCCTTTTTTTCCAACTCTGGTGGCAACAGAGTTTCATCCCTTAGCTTTTCCGGCGCTCCCCGGCGCGAAGTAAATAAACAAAGGCCAGAGGTGTGGGTGGCAACGGGCACACACACACACACACACACACACATTTCATGCACACCTACATCGGTACCCTCAGGATCGATTCGCGAGGGGGTAGAGAGGGGGCTGGGCTGGAATCAGCAAGGGGGTGTGCAAACGAGAGAATGACACACTCGGGCCTTCCTAACCTAAATCGCAAGAGGAAAAGCAAGGAGTGCGTTGACATCCTGCGACGAGAGAGCTTCTCTGTCGAGTCCTTTCGCTTTCGTCAGTGTGTGCCCCCCCCCTCCCCCCGCGTCATGGAAGAAAAAAAGGTGGTGGGTAGCGAATAAAGCTTCCTCGTGGTTTATGTTGAAATTGACAAAGAAAGGATACGTATATTACACATATAGGTATATGTATTGCAAGAGCAAGGAAACAAGCTGCAATGAGCTGCAGCTGGTGGTGGAGAGAAAAAAAGGAGCAGGCGAGCAGCGATGCGCACACGGAGGAGAGGCGGCGGCTCACGAGACTCTCTCTCTCTCTCTACCCTGTATTATACCATCACATACAAACTTACGTCTTTTTTTCCCTTTTACCTTTACCATACTCCACACACATACAAATATATTATATGTACCTACTTTTCCTTTTCTCTCTCTCTCTCTCGACCCTTCGCTAAACCCTCATCTCTCGCTCTCTCTTTCTGTTCCAAGTGTGGATGTACGTTTCCCTCTCGGCTATTGTACTCCATTCTCTCTCTTCTTTTCGTCGTCGTCGTCGTCGTCGTTGTCTTCTCTCTGCTGGCTCTATATAGCTGTGGTCTTGTTCTTCGGTCTTATGGTATTCCTTGCACTTAATTGTTGCATGCGGGCCGCCGGAGAGAGAGAAACAGCCGCCCCCACAATGCGATACTCTCCAGGGACACGGACGAATAATAACAATCACAAGTGTATACGTATATATATACATAAGTTTAGCGAACGGGACAGGGGGGGGGAAGAAAAAAAGGAGTCGACGACGGCGATTACGATTCGCTGACATAGAGACACGAGGAGGAAGAGGTGGGCGGGCGGTGTTGTCGTCGCGGATTGTCCATTATCACTAAAATGCCAACCCTTTTTTTTTTTTTTTTTTTTTTTTTTTTTTTGGCTTCCTTGCCAACTTTTCCCCCCCTGGCACTCTACTCATCCACGGGCTTCTTTTTTTCCACCTCTAGCAGATACGAGTCTCGAAGCCGAGAGAAAGGGACAATCCCCTCCCTCCTGACAGGCAGGAGACAGCCGTTCGACTTTTGTGTTTTGAATGCGAAATATAGGAGCCATCGGTGCAGCAGCTTTTCTTCGTCTCCTCCGTCATGCCCTTCTTCCTCTCTACATCCCCGTCACACTTTTTTTTTTCCCCCTTGTCGACCGGCTATTCTCGGTCACACTCATCGCACGCGTCTATCTCGCTATATACACACTCCGGCTGCTCGTCCTTCTTTTTTTCTCTCTCTCCTCTCTTTGGGTTTTCTCGTCTTTTTCACAAAGTTCGCGCGAGGAGGCTGATGCTGCGCGATCGTCATCGGATGCAGCTCCTTTTTTTTTTCTTTCTTCCTGCTTTTATTTATATAAACATATATCTGTCAGATGTTGGCGAAGCGCGCTATACGTGTATAAGTATACGAGCGCAGCAGCAGGGTTTGTATATACATATATAAGTACGCGCCGTTCAGGCTCGGGTCGTTGGACTCGTTGGCCAGATACGATAGAATGTGTGTGTGTGTAATATAATACATGAGTACGTTACTACCGTCAATACATACATTGGTGTGGGCGCACTCACGCGGAGCTGTAGTTTTCGGGGCGCGAGTTTGAATTTTCCTCTCAAGTAGATTTATAAGCAGTAAGTAGGTACAAGTATTTGGACTTGCACAGTTTAGAGATGGGAATTTTGGTGTGTGTGTGCACTGTTGTGCGTTTTTTTCGTAACGGTACGAGGAGAGTATCAAACAAGGTTACATAAAAAAATATGTGCAGCGCGCACAATCTAAATTTAATATCCGTATGTTTGTATAATGTGGAGCAAAATATGCGACGTAGCGAATTAATGTTCAACTTGAAAGTATAATTACGACTATTCGGAAAATACCGATTGTTCGAGCGTGTGTGGGACACAGCAGCAGGGCGTGTATCTGTGTAGAGTGTATTTTTATGTTGTACTTTGACGCCACATCAAGCTGTGTAAACGCATTGCCGTGAATAATATTGCGCGCACTCAATTTTTTTTTCTTTTTTTTTTTTTTTTTTTTTTTTGAGGGAAGCAGAGAGACGCGTAAATAACGTGTATACACACAGGTGGGGTTGAGGAAGACAGTCCAGCATCCTCCTGTCGTCTATTTTTAGTTTTCTCCGCTCCTTACTTTTTTAACCGAGTTGTGCAAGTTAACATGTACTTACGTGTGGTTTCTCGGTGACTCGATGAATGTACAAACACTCGCGAATTCTTTGGCGATGTGTACTTTTTTTCAATGCGTCACGCACGCGTTTCACATCATTATGCTACCGCATTTTCGAGAAATCGTAGAGTGCAAGGAAGACATATTTTTTTACCGGCATCGGTAGAAGAAAAAACAAAAATAATTTGCGTGCACACACGATCGTGATGAACGAGGATGATGACTCGGACTGAGCGTACCT